GGGCAGCGAGAGCCAGCCAAATCTTGACCTCAGGCACCCAGTTCTAATGCCCAAACTGGGAACAAGTCTATCCTCTCTTCCCGTGCTGGAGAAGAAGGGAGAAAGCAGAAATTAAAAATAAGAAAGGCTGGACCCAGGTGTTTTAAATACCCAGCTCCAGTACACGGAACCAGGGTGGAAGTCCACCATCTAAAAAAAAACCAAACAAAACTGGAAGCCCTACGCCCGTTCTTGGTGCGGAGCAGCTCCTCAGGCTCCGCATTTCCTGGTGAAATGGCGGTTTGTGCTGTGGTTTTCTGGAGCGCGGTTTAAGGGCTAGGACAGAAACGATCACCTTCCAGTCAGAGCGGTGTGCTGATGATTAGGCACTGCTCAACCATCGGGGCGTGCTTGGGTGTGGAATTGCTGCTGTGGTTGGTTGGACGTGGTTGGACTTACCCTCCGTTTGATGATCGTGATGATCAGCTGTAGGGTCTCAAGTGCAAGAAGTGGAGGATCTGGCAGGTTTCATGTAGCCAGTTTTTACTTTGTCACGGTCTTTCAAAGTCTTTAACAAAGGTCATAGTTAAGGGATGACATTGCTCTCCTAGGACTTTATTTTGCTGAGTGGGACATAGACCTCCTTTCAAGTGAACAGCACTTACGCTCTCCTACGTGGCGTTAAATTATCAGAAGTACATGATGACTTGAAGAGTATCGTTGACCTTTCCCCCACCATTTTGCGATACCTGTCATATTCCTTTGCAACTTCAAGGATACTGCATGTCAGCTGTGTTGCTGTTGTGACTCTGGCGTAGCCAGAGGGAGGTCTGTGAAGAACAACTTTGACCCAAAAAAGTTAGTGATACAATTTGGTATTAGTAATTTCTGGGATGCGTAGAAGACCTTTGCCTAGGCTTGTCTCAGTTTTCTTTAGCTGTTTGGATTAGTTGTAGAAAGAAATAAAACCAGTACCTCTTAGGCTAATGGTATTGATGCTGGTTTAGCTCCTACTCATCATTAAAAGATTCTGCTCTTTTATGATCTTCGTGTTATTACAAGAGGACGACGTTTGGCGGTTGGATGTGGGCTGTGCACCGAGTACTGCTGCGTGGCATATGAGTGATGTTGCTCAAGTAGTAACCCAGCATGGAGGTGTTCTGTGAGAGAGCAGACTTACAACCCAGTTTGCAGTCAATTTTAGGCCCAGTCACTTCGCAGGCATTTGCATGGATGGATGTGAATTGTCAGTAATGTGGTTCAAAGCCTCTGAATCACTTCCTTTCTTTGTTGCTCCATTTGAACTACTTTTGCTTATCATTATACAATGTGGAAGAATCGTATCCACCAGAACAGGTAAGTGGAAGTATGGCTATTCATTTCTTGTGTGAGGTGTTTGGAATATGACCTTCTCAGCTGGTCATGGTGTACAGTCTTCGTCTCCGTGTCAGACATGTGGGAAAAAGTATATGCAATATCAATCCATCTACGTTTTGCATCTCCACTGTGAAGTTCTCCATGACAGAGGTCAGCAGAAACATCTAGAAAGCTGAAGAGCTTGTATGTCTAATAGGGAGCAAGTGTGTATATGGTAGTAGCTTCATTTAAAAAGCGACTCAGCTTTGCTTCCCTGCTCCTTCCCGTCCCAGAAAACCAACCGCATCAAAGGGACTCATCGGAAAGAAGCCCTTACAGCTGTGATGTCCCACACCAGTTAGGACATCAGATGAAGTGCTTTGTGCCTTCAGAGCCGACACCTCTGTTCTTACTTGAATACATCATTCTCTTCTGTCCTCCTGAACGAGTAAAATATGATGTGGATGGCAGGATGATTGTTAAACAGTCTCAGGATTTTAGCTTGAAATACATTGGGGCTGGTGGTGTAAATAAATAATTTGGGACTTATGGTGACATTAGAAAGGTATACTGTACTCCCGATTCCTCTTTGACTCCCTTAGTAATATCGGAGTCGTTCAAGGGTTCTTACTGAACTTCAGCAAATAAGACAACAATTACCTCTACAATTTGGAGTATTTAATACTGGCTGCAAAATTCTTTTTGTTAAAGTCAATCATGATCTAGGAGCCATGATAAAGCTCATTAAAAAGTACAGTGTGTACTAACTTCCTAGATTTTGACTGCACTCAAGAAACTTAAATACAAAATTTTAAGTTTTGGAAATAGATGTGTGTATTTATCCTGTCAGTTCATTCATTTTCTACTGTCATGTTAATTTACAAGGCTTTTCAACCTTGTAAACTTAAAGATAAATTCAATTAATATTTTTATATTGAAGCAAAATAAGGTCACAGACAAAATAACCTTAGTGTTTGGTTAACGTAGGTGCCGTTTTCTAGTTGGAAATGGCTTCTAATCACCTGAAATATTGCCTATTATATTTCTTTTAGGACTGTGAAACAAGTACCAGTTTATTCTGGAAGCAAATGAACACTCATTAAAGAACTATGGTGCATATTCCTTAGAAATAACAAACTGAAAATGAAGGACTGACAAAAGGGTATTCACAGTGGCCTTCAGGAAGGCAGCCCTATCTTGCTTTATGATTCAAATACACTGTTGGATGTGGTGATAGGAAGTCCTCATTAATTTTGGTAACAAACAGAAAGGGTAATGTATTTACTCTTAAATACCAAGTTTGTTGATTCACATTGAAGTTATTGTCAGTAATTTGAAGTAATATTTTGTATTTTCCGTGTACAATGTAGTTCCCACGTTATCTGAACCCAAAGAGTTCTCTCGCACAGGCTCTGGTATTAAAAGTATATGAGATGGCTTTGCAGGGGAAAAAAAATTCAATATGAACAGTGCACCTAACTTTATTTTTCCTAGCACAGAGCATCCCGTTTACTGCAATAAAATTCCACTTTATTGATGAATATATGAATCAGTTATCAGTATCATAGAGATGCTCATGAAGCTGACTTTGACGCTTTTCTCTTTTTTTCATTTAATATTTTGGGGGTTTATATACAATAAACACAATTAGACATTCAGGGATGATGATGTCAAAACCTAAAGTCTTATTTTAACATTGTGTCAGATTATATTACAACACCTTGGGTAAGTGATCTAAAGATTGTAGCTAAGTCTCTGAAGGGCACTATCACATGCGTATATTTCTGGATCACAATAATAAAATCAGTCTTTAAAACTCAGCAGTTTTTGCATTGAAGTGGAAAAGTGACGTTTTAAAAAATGGCATCTTCTGACTGAAATGATACAATGCCCATGGATAGGAGGCTTGTCCACCGTAGTGATGGGTTTCAATTAAATCTTAGCCGGTTTATGCAGCTGTGTAAGAATGAGCTGCAGTTTATTTTAGCTCACACGATCCACCAGAAAGATAATGTATTTCTAGATGAGTTACAACATCTCCCATTTATACCTGCGCTCAGGTACCAGCAAAGTCA